AATGCAGTCATCGTATTCACTGACGCTGGAAAAAGATCACAGTGTACCGTAGCCACCTGGAGGCACGAAGGGCGATGGCACCAACACTTCTTAAGCGCTCACTTAAAGGACTCTTTACAAACATTAGAGCTTGCAGCTGTTGTGTGGGCATTATCTCACTGGCTAGATCAAACACTTAATGTGGTTACAGACTCGATGTATGTTGCAGGAGTGGCTAATCGAATCGAAGATGCCAGCATTAGAGAAGTTAAGAATACCAGACTCATGCAACTATTACAGCAGCTTCACAAAGCAATTGCTTACCGGTCAGCCAGATATGCTGTGTTGCATATCAGGAGTCATCAATGGAATATAGGGCTGGGAGAAGGAAATGCTAGAGCAGATCGTCTAGTGTCAACAGTCACAGAAGCTCCTATACCTCCTTTCCTGAGAGCACGTGAGGCTCATGCTGTATATCATCAAAATGCAAAAGGTCTCAGTCACTCATATGGACTGTCAATTGAAGATGCCAGAGCAATAGTGAAAGCATGCCCTATTTGCAGTCAGCAAAATAAAGGAGTAGGCCTCGGAGTGGGAGTTAATCCCAAAGGACTAAAAGCTAATGAGTTGTGGCAGATGGATGTCACACATGTTCCTGCTTTTGGTCGATTGAAATACATGCATGTGTCAATTGACACCTACAGTCACTTCGTATGGGCTACGCTGCAGCCAGGAGAAAAGGTCCAAGATGTGAAGCGTCATCTGACAGATTGCTTTGCTGTCATGGGAGTCCCTAAAACGTTAAAAACAGATAACGGACCTGCCTATGTTAGCAAGATTCTGGGACAATTCTTGCAGCAGTGGGACATAAAGCATGTTACGGGCATAGCTCATTCGCCTACTGGACAAGCTATAGTAGAGCGAATGAATGGAACAATTAAAAGCTACCTTGAGAAATACAAAGACATCAGGGATGCCCGAGAGAGAGTTAGCAAAACTCTTTTTGTCCTTAACCATTTGTGTATTTTCAGAGATGATTCAGTACCTCCTATCGTCAAACATAATCAGAAAGAGCAAGTGTCAAAAGGACCACCCATGAAGGTTCACTATCGGAATCCTAAAACTGGGATGTGGGAAGGTCCAGCAGAAGTCATCTGCTACATCACAGGCTACTTCTGTGTGTCTACTTCTACAGGTACCCTGTGGGTTCCCAGTCGTTGGGTCAAGCCAGCAATTGAGAGCCCTCGAGAACGAGGAGGAGAGACACCTGCGGTGCCTGCAGCCTCACCTGACCTTACACCACCACCTCCAGCCTCTTCAACACCTGATTCCCCTGCACCTGCTGAAGAGGGAGACACTGGAACAGCATCTGAATTAACTGAGTAACTGTACACAAAGGAACTGCAAGACTTACGTGCCCGGACTTGATTTATTGTTTTTGTGTATTAGTATAGCAAAGATGTTAGGATTTCTGTCTATTTCATTGTACGGCTATGTAATAAGTTTTCTTCTTTTCACGGGTATGATTGCCAATGTTGGGGCTCTTCACACCATTGACCCTGGGAAAAACATACGGGTCACCTGGGCAAATCAAACAGGACAATCATCCTTTTGCTTGTCCTTGGCATCTGCCTCAGATCCTTTTCGTACTTGCTTATTTGGTATGCCTTTTAACTCAGTATATAAGTTAAACTTACTATTTGCTGGTTGGGTTTCATCATCGTGTGGGAATGAAGTAATTATCTCTAATACATCTGCGTGCCTTATAAAAGCTCTCAATACCTCTTTACCCCAGAGTCCCCAGGAGTTAGACTTAATGGGATCATTGTCTGTACGTAATACAAGTGATAATGGGACTCAAACTTGCTTTATGCTAGGAACATTTCATTCTGGGTTAAGTGCACATCAAAGCCACGATTTGTCTAGATGGACTAATGTCACTTCACGTACCCCAGGGTTTAATTATAAAAATGTAGGAGACTATTGTGGCACTAACAATACTAACAACCAGAGCCTTGGGGCATATGGAGCTGAAGTCAAACTTTCCTCACCAGGTATTTGGGTTAACAACACTGCACGTGCCTTACCACCAGGTGTATTTCTTATTTGTGGTGACAGAGCTTGGCCTGGCATTCCTGTACGTGCCTTTGGAGGACCCTGCTATATAGGGTCACTTACGCTGTTATCCCCATCCTTTTTACAGCTTTTTAATCTGACTTCATCACGCAAACAAAAGAGGAGCCTAAACCAACTTTCCTCAGATTGTGATGACAAAGTAGAGCTATGGGGTAGAACAGCTACTGTCTTTGGATCTATTGTCCCAGGTGTAGGTACGGCACAGGCATTAACATCCATTCGCAAACTTGCATGCTGGGCTGTAAAACAATCAAATGTCACCACCCGAGTAATAGCAGAACTTGCACAAGACGTTGGTAGTCTACGTCATGCTGTCCTACAAAATCGAGCTGCTATTGATTTTCTGTTGTTAGCACAAGGCCATGGCTGTAAGGACTTTGACGGAATGTGCTGTTTTAATCTTTCAGATCACAGTAACTCCATACATAAACATCTGCAATGGTTAACAGATCATACAAAGAAAGTGACAGTAGCGACTAGTCCTATAGACTCATGGCTTCAATCTGTCTTTGGTTCTATGTCTGAATGGGCTCTAAGTTATATTAAGGAAGGCCTACGATGGATATTGACAGTTGTTGTAATCTTAGTAATAGCTCGTGTTGCCTTTTCTTGTATTACTAGACGTGTAAATACTACGACAAAGAAAGCATTGTTGGCCCATAATAAAAACGGGGGAATTGTAGAGGATTGGTTAGAAATGCGAGGACATATGAACATGGCTAAGGTTATGGATGAGCTGCTAAAGTATAAGACTACTGCTAAAGTATAAGATGCAGTTTTCCTTAGGCCCATGAGAAAGTTAGAGATAGCAGGGCCGTGAGAAAGTGGCAGTGTCCTTGGATATCCTAAATTGAGCTGAGAAACAGGAGCTAGGCATTACCAAAACAAAGGCACTTAATGAGCCACCTGTGTAAACAATGAAAAGCAGTTAAGATGATATCACCACCTAACCTATTCATGAACCTATTATAGAGTGTATATTAAGCTACTATCAATCTACAATAAACGAAGTTCCTGGATTCTCATATTGAGGTGTCTAGAGCTTTCCGTCGCGACGTTAACTGTCTGTCACAGGAGGAAGCCCATGCTGGAGCAGGGAAAGGACTCTTGACCCTGAGCGGTGGCAGAAACAGTGTGCAATGAAGTGCCCATAAAAGCCATTCCCCTTTCCCAAGGTTATTTAGCCATAGTTTATTTATTGTTTAGGATGGTGCGAAACAAGGTTGCGTTCTTGCACCAACCCTATTCACAATCTTTTTCAGCAGGATACTCCAAAGGGCCACGGCAGACCTCGACGAAGAAGGTGGGATCTACATCCCATATCGTACCCATGGAAGCCTTTTCAACCTAAGGCGACTGAAGGCCCACACTAAGACCTTAAACCATCTTGTCCGGGAGCTGCTTTACGCTGACGCCGACGCCCTCGTGGCTCACACAGTGGCAGCTCTGCAGCGTTTAACATCCTGCTGTGTTGAGGCTGCTGAGCTTTTTGGGTTGGGCGTCAGCTTGAAGAAGACACAAGTTCTCTATCAGACCGAGGAGGGAGCCTTTGCCAACGTGGACGATGACTGGAAATACGACACCCATCCAAACCTATCCCAATGCGCAGATGTTACCGCGTGGGAAGAAGACGTGACACCCCAAGAGCTCTACCCATGAGAAGAAGAAGTGAGAGTCCAACAACGTTCCCAACGGGGAGCCAGAAGACACCGAGAGCTCTACGAATTTGAAGAAGAGGGCAGAGTCTGAGAACTTTCCCAGTGGGGGGATGGGAGACACCCAGAGCTGTAGCAACGGGAAGAAACCGTGAGACGCCAGGAGCTGTACGAATGGGAAGAAGATGGTGTGAGATACCAGGAGCTGACCCGATGGGAAGAACATGCGACAGTGCAAGAGGTGCCCCAAAGGGAAGAAGAAGAGACATATCAAGAGGTGTCCCAATGGGGAGATGTGGCAGTCCCAGAGTTGTCCCAGTGGGAAGGTGAGAGATACCATGACCTGCCTCAGTGGGAAGAAGATGTGCAAGGGCATGGACCGTACCAATGGAAAGACAAGAGAGACCCAGAGGTCTCCCAAGTGGGAGACAAGGCAGACAAGGAGCAACCTCAGGAAGAAGACTCCAGTGCCCAAGAGCTGCCCCAAAGGGAAGACAGGAGTGAGAAAAAGCTGTCCCAGTAGGGAGATGATGTCGGTTACAGCACCTGGGACAAACCCTGGCGCCCGCTGAACTCTGGGGACCCCCAGATTGTTCCCCAGGAGGGACCCGGCTCTGCCAGCAGCGTGGGCACAGAGGTGGCAGCAGAGACAGCCCGTGACCTGCCCAGTCCAGTTCCTGCCCCGGTGAGTGCCACTGACACCGAGCCAGCAGGTGCTGCCCCCAGGGGCCTCTGCCTCTGTTGAGGAAGAGGCAGAAGGTTCTCCAGCCTTCAGAGAGCAGTTGCCATCGACAGGGACACAGAGCCCGGTCCCTGCCCCACACGGCCCCTCAGAGAGCAGCGAGGCCCTGCTGGACTCAAGGCAATACATCACATGTGGGATCATGAAGAAGGCTGAACTTGTGATCCAGGCACCCAACCAGGAGCCGGAGGAACAGAGAAACCTGGAACAAAGCATGGATACAGACACGGTAAAAACCATTCCAGCAGAAAGGACAGAGAGCCCAGTCCCTGCCCCGCAGAGCCCCTGCTCCCCCAGCAGTCCCTCACCTTTCCAACTGAAAGCCCAGGTGCGCAGCGAGCAGGAGGACGGAGCAGGAGGGGACTCAGTCCTGGCAGTGCAAGACACTGACGAGGGGCCCTTCCCTGGGGAGGGCATAGGCTGGAAATACTACGTTGACCAAGGCATTTCCCAGTGGGAAGATGAGGGAGACCAAGAGTTGTCCCAAGAAACATTAACACATACCAAGAAGTGTCCCAGGGGGAAGACTGCATTGAGCAGGAGCTGTCCTCTGGAGAAGTCAAGAGCTACCAGGAATTGTCTGACTGGGAAGAATACAGCGAGGAAGAGGAGCCCCAAGGAGAAGTGAAGAGCTACCAAGAAGTGTCCGACTGGGAAGAAAACATTGAGCAGGAGCAGTGCCAAGGAGAAGAGAGTAGAGGCCAAGAAGTGTCTGACTGGGAAGAATACGGCGAGGAAGAGCTGTCCCATGGAGGAGTGAAGAGCTACCAAGAAGTGTCCGACTGGGAGCACTCCAGCGAGGAAGAGCAGTGCCAAGAAGTCAAGAGGCACAAAGAACTGTCCAACTGGGAGGACTCCCAACGAGGAAGAGCAATGCCACGGAAAAGGCAGTAGCTCCCCGGAAGCGACCGACTTGGAAGAATGCAGCATGAAAGGGCAGCCCCCAAGAAAATTCAGTAACTACCAAGAACACCTGCCCCGTGCCCACAAGTGCCGCTCTGCACCTCACCTCTCCAGCTGGAAGCCCTGTCCCCCGGAGGCACTGAAGCTTCTCCTGCCTTCGACGAGCCAGGTCCCTGCCCCACGCAGCCCCTGCTGCCCCTCCAGCCCCTCGCCTCCCCAGCTGGAGGTTCAGGCTCTCAGCAGGCAGCTGCTGTCCCCACCAAACGTCTCTCCCGCTTCAGGCGGGCGCTCGGGGCTCTGCGCAGGCTGTTCCGCTCCTGCATGGCGGTACAGCCCCAGGATTAGGCCCCGCTCCAGCGCCAGGCGGGCCCGGACACCTCTTCGCTGCTTCCCACACAGACGCTCACTCCACCATCCACCTGAGACATTGATTCCAATGCCTGACTACTCCTGCAGGGAATGAGCAAAGACAGGACCTCTTGCTCCCAGAAACCCCCTGCAGGAGGACAACACACTCGATTCTTGCCAAAAAACCAAAAGATGGCTGAAGTCAATTACATAATTTTAGTAATTAATTAGGCTAGTTAAGTTATTAATTTGATTAATAATTATCATAATATCTAGCTATAACATTTAGATAGATTATTTCAGATTTACTATGAAGATAGAGTCACATAGGATAGGTAAAATTATATTTCCATATTATAAAAATTATCTTGTTTATAGGGCAGAGAGAGTGAGCTTTCATTTAGATCATAAGAATCAGAGAAAGTAAGACGTAAGAGTAGGAAGATTTACTGTACTTTCCATTTCAGAATCCGTTATCTCTCACTATCTCTTTACTTCACATTTATTGTTAAATAAAGTCCGTACTAAATAAAATCTGCCTTTTGTCAGCAAATGGTCTCGTTTACACCTTAGTTCGGGCTGAGGTATCTCTCCCTAATGGGACCAGAACACATGAGCAGAGGCACCTTCCAACACAAACTGGCTCCAACCCCATCCAACTTGGCCTTGGACACTTCCCACGGTGGGGCAGCCACAGCTTCTCTGGGCAACCTGGACCAGGGCCTCACCTCCCTCATGGCAGGCAGGCATCCAACGGCAGCGCCGTTCCGGCAGCTGGCACCAAGCCCCGGCACAGGGCACTGTGCGTGTGGCGCCGGAGAGGTGACGGGAGACACGGGGAGGGGACTCGTCGACCTCACCATCAGCCCTGGCCCTCAGCACTCTCTCCCTCAGCCACTGCTGTCCATGCCCTCGCCCTCAGCCAGTGCCCTCAGAGCCCTGGCCCTCAGCCACTGCTCTCCTTGCCCTCGCCCTCAGCCAGTGCCCTCAGAGCCCTGGCCCTCAGCCATCGCCCCTCAGCCCTCAGCCATTGCCCTCACCCCCCAACTCCCTTTCAAATCCAGACCGGGGCTCGCCCCGGCCTCACACAGGGAGCTGCCGCGCTCCAGCTGTCGCTCAGCACTGGGTGTGGATCTTGTGCTCGCCCCAGGTCTGGGGCTTTGCAACCTGGCCGTGCTTGGCATCACTCCTGCAATTTTACCCTAAGGGCATTTTTGAAAATGCTCAGCCGGCCACTTCCCTTGCTCTGGGCCTAACGCTGCTGTTTCAGTCCCTTTTTAGAACCTGCCTGTGAAGAGAAGCCCCCCAGGAGAGCAGAGCCCGCTGCAGGAGCCAACAGCCTCACCCTAACCAAGGGATGACACAGCACTTAGTGCTGCAAAGATTGCAGCTGTTCCCAGGGCACAAAGCAAGCTGAAACTGCTCCACTTGGCATTTGCTTGCCCATCTCGCTCTAAAATAACATCCCAAGATGTCAGTGTTCAAGACAATGGCTTAGATTGAGGTGGACTGTGCTGGGGAGCCTTTTAAACCCAACCTCCTGCCTGACCTCACTGCTGCTGGAGTTGCATGGAGAGTGCTTGGAGTCTTTCAGTTGGATTCATATGTTTCCTAGAACATTCCCGTTTCTTGGTTTGCTGTTCAGTGGAGATAAGGATGTTCTTCCAAGTGATAGCTCTCCTCCAATCTTTTCTTCGGCTCCAGAAATGGAGCAGCTTCATCAGGCACTTAGGTGAGAAGAGAGAGTTCCTGAAAAGCAGCCCTCGGAATGGAAACCGTCAGTCAAGAGGCAATGTTTAATGTTCTTCTTGGTGCAGAAACTGAAGATCAAGCTTTAGAAGAAGGATAGAGAAAGAACCTCTCAAAGACAACAAACTGTCCTGGAGGTACCCAGAGGTGGGTTGTTTTGGGTTCTTTTGTTTGTTTGGTTGGTTGGTTGGTTTTTACCTCAGGCCTTACAGTCAACAAGACAGGATGAAACGCAAGAATCATTTTGGCATGGAAATACTTGTCTTCATAAACTTGCTCATTGGAAAACTTGGTATCTGTTGATTTCTCCTTGTGATAGCTCTGGGTCTTTCTCATCCTCCCCCCTGCACAGCTCTGGGATTCCCCCCTCTTCCCACTGGGCAACTTCTTGGACTCTCCCATCTGCCTCCCATTGGTGCAGCTCTTGACTCTCATTTTCTCCCCTCAGGTTGAGCTCTCGCACTCGCCCACGTTCTTCCCATGGCTGCAGCTCTGGGCCGCTCACGTTTCCCCAGTGGAACACTTCGATGTTTTTCTTTGGAATGATTTTTGGATGGTCCAAAGAGCTGTGAAAACAGCTAAAAAGGACTTGTTTGCCCACGTCAAAACTGTGCTTGCTTCCTAACAAAGATGACTCCCTGGCAATAGTCAGGCTCAGAGCGTGTCTGTGCAGGCTTGGCCGGACAGGCTCCACAGTCCTGGGGCAAATGTGTTTGGATGCCAGTTCTTTGTGAGCCGGGTTCAAGGGGCAGGTTCAGTTTGCCTTTGGAGAGAACGCACACACCTGCCCTCCCACCCGCAACTGGGAACTCTCCTGCTGGGAGAGTTGGGAGCTGAGCAGTCCCTCCTCACAGATCCCTGAGTGGTACTGCATAACTATCCGGAGTAGCTAAAAAATGACATCTGTACATTCTTTTCTCATGCCTTACAAATTTCAACAGAAAAGACACAAATCCTGAAGTAATTTGAGCAGTGTTCTGTCTTTCCTTTCTTTGTAATTTCCTAGGAAACTGCATTGCCACAGGCACCTCCACTGGATCGATTCCTGAAGGACTGCTCCTATGGACGGACTTCTGCAGCAGAAGTTTCCGGGGAACTGTCTGCCACAGGAGGAAGCCC